ATAACATTATACTTCACCACAAGGGCGTGATGTTTAGACACTCAGAATCGCTTACCTTGTTTCCATGTATTAGTAGGGTGGGGTACTATGTTCCTTCGAATTTTCATTCACTGCGGCAAAAGACGTTCTCACGAGCGTACGTTCTACGAGCTGTGACACACGCGCCTACGTTCCTATATCCACGAGTCTACGTTCCCGTCTCTCTGATTAGCTGACAGACTGTTGATAGCAGACGACGGGTCTCAAGCCCCCGAAATCAACCAGGCATACAATAAGTCATCATACACTCCATACAATAAGTCATCATACACTCCATACAATAAGTCTTGTTACCAGACAATAATGGAACCATACCATGATTGTCCCCCGCCTTTCGAAGAAAGCAGGGGACTATTAAAATGGGTTCGTCCGTCTGTCCGTCCGTCCGTCTGTCTGTCCGTCTGTCTGTCTGTCCGTCACACTTTTTGGGACACAATAACTCTCTTCCTAATTGAGCTAGAATGTTCAAACTTGGTGTATGTGTTTATTAGGTCAATGCCTTGATGGAGTTCGAAGATGAGCATTTTCCGCTTAGGGTAAGCAGAGATAAGCAATTTGATTGGTTGATGCTTTGGGACACGATAACTCTCTTCCTAATTGGGCTAGAATGTTCAAACTTGGTGTATGTGTTGATTAGGTCAATGCCTTGATGGAGTTCGAAGATGAGCATTTTCCGCTTAGGGTAAGCAGAGATAAGCAATTTGATTGGTTGATGCTTTGGGACACGATAACTTTAGTTCTAATTAAGTGAGATTGATGAAACTTGGTGTATAGTTTCATTACAGTAATACCTTGACTAAGTTTGATAATGAGCATTTTCTGCTCAGGGTAAGCAGAGCGATACGCAATTTGATTGGTCGAGACTTTGGAAAACAATAACTCTCCTACTTTGATTGTCCCCCGCCTTTCGAAGAAAGCAGGGAACTATTAAAATGGGTTCGTCCGTCTGTCTGTTTGTCTGTCTGTCCGTTCCGCTTATTTGTGATAAATTTATATGTGTCCTCTAATTATTTTCCTATTTCGGCGGGGGACATCAGCCTCACTGTTGGCTTGTTCGTATCTATGACTGGAAAACAAAATGACCAGCGTATAGCGTGTCTCTTATGTTCAGAATGGCCTCGCTTGTCACTTCTGCCCGCTTCACTCGTTCAACCTACAATTGTCGGCGCTATTGTACTTTCGCACTCTACCGTAGTCGTAGAGACTTGACATTTTCTGGGGATGTTACAGGGGACTAGCGATAACCTTACATCAAATGTTAGCCAAATCGACCAATAACTTTTCATTTTACCGACCTTTAGTTTCATTTAGAGATACTTTTATACGATAGACGCCATTTTGTTTGTTGACTATTTAGACTTGAATAACAAGACACAAAGACGGATTTCGACACACTGAACTTCCTGCATAACGCCGAATTCATGACAATAAACATTATGCGCTAAGCCACCATTTTTTATAAATGACTATTTGGTGCTGACAGTTGATTGGCCTTCACGGTCTATAATAATTAATGACTATGAAACGAAAATGTATGAAACTTCCGAATAATATCTATAATTCAATTTTACTGGGGGTGTAGTTGTTGAGGTATGTCTACTTATTTGCTACTGAATACTTGAATAGAAACCAAAAGTAAATATTTCATTTACAATGATTGGCGTTTTAAATTTTATTTTAAATTTCATTTTATTTAGATTTATAAATAAAACGTTTTTAATTTTCAATATATTTTTATTTGAAATCAAAATCATTTTTTTTTTTTTTTTTTGTGATTTTTGAATAATTAAAATATTGTTTAGATAAAAAAAAAATCAAAATATGTTTTTAGATGAAACAATAAAAAGAAATTGTATGGCAGCCGTGGGCCACTATAAATGAGAAATGGTATCGGGTGTTGTAGAAACAGTAAGCACACCATGCCCAATTCACGACACACATCACTAACTATAGCTGAATGAATTGATAGTTGGGACTGGTATAATGTCTTCCATAAATGAGTCCACAAAGTCATAAGTGAGCCATATAGGTAGAATTATTTCAAAGGTATTTTTGAGCTTTGATTTGATTTCTATGGGTTTGCTTTGCCCAATCTTTGATAATAAATATCCACCTAATCGGTATTCAAAATTATTGAATTGATGAAAACGTTTCGTTAAGATAGTATTAATACAATATATAATATTAGTTATCCTTCCGTTTTATTGTTGAATTTTAATGTTTGCCCACATAACCATCAAAGTATTCGAAATGGAGATTATAATATGTATTATAAATACTGTGTGCCTTCAACCAACCAAACTATACTCGGTGGATACACATCCAGATCTAGACAGTGAATTCCAGAATGTTCATTTTGGACGGAAGAGAACTCGGAAGCCTTTTTCAATAATGACTGTAAATTTGACTTTGGAACAAACTATTATATACACAGGTGATGCTAGCCAAAGAACAGGGATCGGCCCATTTAATAATTCAACAAAGACCTGCAAAATAATCATTCATTACCCGTCCGTATTTTTTCCAACTTGTTTACCGAACTTAGTTTTTAGATACAAAAGATTATATTTCGCGGGATTTAAAATTACACCAAATACAAAGAAATGCACGATTTAGAGACCATAAATCTAGCGAGTGAACATCTTATGAATCCATTCTCTCCACCTGAAACACATCATTAATTTATTTTCAGCATTTGATCTGTAGCAAAGGCAGGCACTATGGCAACAAAGGAATTCCTATTAAATGGAAAAATATTAAAAACAAGCTGATTTAAGAATGATAATCCACCCCATTTCCCTCCTGTATAATTAACTCCTAGTAATGTTATGCGAACAGCTGATACTGATAATCCTACAGGTAATATGGATGTTATTGTTCCAGAGATTGATGCTTCGAAGTAGGTGTTTATAGCAACCAACATTTCCCACCCGATTAGATTTTATTACATACTTCGAGAAGGTATTTGTTGAGTAATAAAACCTTCTAGTAGTTTATCGAGGGCTGGCCTAGAAAATATCACGAACTAATTTTTCATCATCCTAGGTCAGTGCTTCTGTGGAGACTTAACCTCTCCCCCAAATTCTTAAACCTAACCCTTTTAAGAGAAGTAAAAACTAAATTAGACCCACGTTCAGTCTTTTAAAAAGGGTTAGGGTTCGGGTTAGTTATCCCCAAAATTCTCATTGATATAAAGCGGCAATTTTGGACTCCGGAAAGGAAAGAATCGTCCTTTAAAATTATTAGAAAAATAAAACGTGTTGATGTCCAGATGTCATCACCACGACAGGAATGGCTTGATTCGCGATTGGAGTGCTCGCTTTCTTGGTCATCCCGTCCATCTAAGCAAATAAAGTCAACTGATACAGGGGCAACATGAAAAGAAAGTATAACTAAAGTTATTATATTGTATTAAAACTATGAGGGCAAAACAATAACTGGTTAATTATGGCAAACAGTATATATACTTCATAATCTCCAGTTCCGATACTTTGAAGGTGGACAAACATTATGAATGGAACGGAAGGATAGCTAAAGTTATTTACACACTGGGCCCTTTGTGCCGACTCGATCGTTCATGTTACTATCAGGTGATCATTTGAGGAAAAATAGGTGTCCATATAGATGAACACCCGTACATGCTAACCCGGTGATTGTGGAAAAAAGACCATGCATTTTCGTGCGTGCACTACATTAGAGATAACAAGAAACGCCGTGTTATAATTGATTCAAAAAATATAAATATACGTAGATAAAAATAAATAAATAATTGTTCAAGAATTGATGGAAATAGCTTTATAGTTTAACTATAACACATACTTATGGAAAAGCAGCTGCTTATTTATCTGGGCGATGTTTCGAAGACTATTATATCAACGTTATCAAGCTAATACAATATCACAAAATGTGAAGCAACACATATAGAAAAAAACTACAACAACAAGGTTGAAACCATACATACCTTTATAGTTGGCGAAATAGTAACATTAGTTACAAAACTCATCCGATAGTAAGGAACAAATACACAAAACCCAGTGAACTGGGATACATTGCTGTTTGGCCGAGTTTAAAAATGATTTTAATCTTTCCTTTTGGATGTCTAATACAATTCCCGCGTGATATTTCTTTTTCGCATACTTACATGGTTAGTTTATTCTATGGCGAACGAATCATGAAACATAAAATAGTGCAGTATACGCTTCTTCTACAATACAAAAGAAAACAAACAGAATATGAACGTAAAACGTATTCCCGTTAATACAGCATACCACGTTCCCACTGAATTAATATTACATTATCTATTGGCCTATTGTGGATTTAAAAAAGGGCGAAAACCAATCCAAATTTCTGAAAATTGTATTTTAAAAAGCTAACATTGGACATGATCTGATTTGTATGCATCGTGAATAAACCGGTATAAATTTGCTATATTCAGCTTATTGACCCCCCCCCCCCCCCCGTCCGCTTAGTTCTCGGTTCATAGTAGATCAATTTGAATGAAATTTTCAGCAAATTGCCTTTACGTTATCTAGTTTTTAATTATTATAGTGAGAACTGCCAACTCGTTATCAAATCTCCCATAATGTATCTTTAATTGTACACAATGCAACTGGCAGAGAACAATGCGGGCAACCTTTCTTGGGTCAAGACATAACCGCTACTCATTCACTGTGCAATTCGTACAATTATCACGAAATCGTAGCCCAGTCCCTTTAATACGGCCCTGAGAAAGGACAGTCAAAGAACCAGACACTGATGCCACAGGACTACCTAAAATTGGAAGATTAGCTATTTAATGAATGCGGGATAGGTTGTTATAAACAAAGTAGTGAAATACATCATAAATACACACTAATTCATATGAATAAAACTTAATCCATATTTAATCCCCGAATCATCATAAATATACACGAATTCATATCAATAAAATTTAATCCTTTACCCATTATTTAATCCCCGAATCATTATAGATATACAATAATTCATACAAATAAAATGTAATCCATATTTAATATAAATATACCATAATTCATGTCAATAAAATTTAATCCTTTAACCGTTATTAAATCCCCGAATCATCATAAATATACACTGATTCATATCAATAAAATTTAATCCTTTGATCATTATTAAATCCCCGAATCATTATAAATATACAATAATTCATACAATTAAAATGTAATCCAAATTAAATCTCCGAATCATCATAAATATACAATAATTCATACAAATAAAATTTAATTATTTAAAGATACATTATGTAAGATTTACATAAAGAGCCGACATTTCTCGCTAAACTAGTTATAAAAATAGATAATGTAAAGGGAATATGTTGAAAATTTCACTCATATTACTTCATTCTAAAGTATAGTGTCGATTGTCATTGCTACCGTTGTCACGATAATAAACAAACTCCCGATTATCCATTTTTAATTAAATCATTAACTAACAATCGTGCTAAAATTCGATGAAAATCAAAAGCATGCGATGGTCTAGAGCGTTGATTATAGGGTTGGCATGTGAATAAATGTCTACTTAATGATTTATATAACATTTGAGTCCTAACAAAACATCTGCATTAGTCAGAAATGAAAATGAAATGAAATGGGGTTTAACGTCCTACTGTTCCGCTCCTATACTGAGCTAATGGAGGCGGGCATACGCCATACAGTGTGCTATGAGGGAAATTTTGCCCGGGCAGCGGCACTTTCGCCTACTCTTATATCGAATTCCAACTGCCAGGGGATCTTTTACGTGCATTCCAATATATACACGGGACCTCGGTTTTTCGTACCATCCGAAGGACTATACATCTTCAATTATGGCTTGTAATATATCATACGTTTTTTGTAATCTCTAAATCTAGTTTCCCCAAATCCAAGACAGCAGAATTTGAAAATGGCAGCTAAAATTTGCCAAAATGGTCGATTTTTCGGATAATCGTCATTTTTCTGTTTGGTATGGCTAGTAATAGTATGTTATTCAAAGGGTTTTCGGTGTAACCGAATTTAAATTCAAGCTCAAAAGAAGAGTTTCCAAAATTCAAGATTTTTGAAAATCCAAGATGGCGACCAGAATTTCCCTAAAATGAATGATCTTTCAGATAATCGTCAATTTATGTATGTCTTGTAATAATGTCCTTTATTAGGTTTTCAAAGTCAATGAACATGAAAATAACCTCAAAAATAAATTCATAAAAATAGATTGATATTTGTCAGTTATGTATTTCACAAAAAGTTCAAAATGGAAAATGAATCACAGAAGACTCTATGTCCGGCAACTTTTGTGGTATAATCTAGATATGATATCCACAGATCATTTTCGTTCACACCAAGTTTTAAGTTTAAAAATAATCAACACGAAAATAATTTGAAATACATTTACGACCAGGTATCCCGCACGATTTCCTCTTTACGTATGTGTTGTTCTTACACGTAGAACTTGTGGCTACCATATCTAGACTATACCTGAAGAAATTATTATTATTTGAAAAAATCAGACATTTTGGAGAATTTTTGGCCGCCATTTTGAAAATGACGTCATGGATAATTTTTTTTCAAACATCGTGTTCAGCTAGCAATTTCGCCTCTGGAAATTGCAAGTAGGCAAACAAATGTCTTGCTGTGACACCCCGTCAATGGATAATACTATATAACTTAGTAGCTCATGTATTTGTTGCATAATGAAAAGGAGGAAAATCAACCCAATGAATAAAAGCAGCAGAAATATGATTGTCACTACAAATATATTTACGATAGCTTCCCTAAAATTTACACTTTTTCTTAATTTGTCAAAGTAATTCTTTCTATGGTAAGTCAATAATCTTGCAATACCTCCCCTGTTTATATTAGCCCACAATTCATGTATAAAGACCAAACCACCCATAACACGTGATACAGTGTCCCCATCTAGTTGGCCAGTTTGATATTTACATAATCTTAAACTAGGCACACTGACGTCACTAGCTAATTTATCCGTAATCGATTTTACATAGCGCGAGATTGTCAACAATTTATCTATAGACGGATTTTTAAGTTCTTTAGTCGTAGCATTTAAACAGTTTTCTAGCTTTTTAATTATGATTTCTTTGCGGTCTTTATATTTTCCCATCTTGTCTTCATAGTCATCCTGGATTTTCTTTAAATCTTGTTTCATGCACTTTCTTGATCGTTTTAACATTTTATAAAATATCTGAACGTGCTCGTCTATCTTATCACATTCGGTCTTTGAATTTTGTCGTGTTTCACGTATCGACTTATTTATGTTATTTACATCTGTTTTTAATTGTGTTAACATATCCTCAATATATATTTTATTAATATCCAATTCATTACCAAGGTCGCTCAAATAGTCCATCAAATCTGACGTGTAGTGATTGGCATGGTTTCGTTCTAAACATATCTGACAGACTGCAATCATGCAGTCATTACAAAAGACGTTCACTTCTTGGCGTCTGTGCATTTTACAGTAGGTTTGTCGCGCCAATTTACTCCTAGTGTACCCATCTAATGTAAATATCACATGGTTGTTATTGTCAGTGAGATCATCATGAGTTGTCTTACACGGGCGGCACAAATATTGTTCACAATTTCTACAGTTAAACACACAGGGCGTAGTCTTACAGACACCACACGATGACAGATCAAGAAACCTTTCCTTGATATAAAAATTCAGTGGAAACTCCTTCACACCTCCCCTTGGAATTCGTATTTGTTTGCGACACAAAGGACAAAAAAAGTTGTTATCTGTAGCCGATTTCTTGACGTGACCTTCCAGACATTGTTCACAGAATGTATGATGACAGTCTATTATTTTAGGGATAGTAAAATCATTTAAACAAATGCTACATACATGTAAGTCGTTCTGTCCCGCCATACTGAAAGTACAAAAATACTAGGTTGTTATTGCATTGATTAACTGATCGAGTTCATAACCCCAAAACCCGATTTTGAGCTTGGAGCTGATCCGGGCTTCGAAAAAGTGGAAAGGAGGTCAAGAACACCACGTGTTTGGTGCAGTGTGGGTTGGGTAGGGTGGGGGTACGATATTAAAGTTGTGGGGCAGAGAATATACCTTCCAAATATCTAGAGGTCGTTTTAAATGGGGAGGGAGGCGGGCGGAAACTATACCTAGAGGTTGTGCTTAATGGGAGGAGGAAACAACACCTTCTATTGTCTAGAGGTCGTGCTTAGTAGGAGGGGGTAGCAACTCCTTCCATTGCCTAGAGGTCGTGCTTAGTGGGAGGAGGAAACAACACCTTCCATTGTCTAGAGGTCGTGCTTAGTTTCCCAGTCTTTAGAAGCCGTGTGGCGAAAACTGCGCCTTCTTAATATCTATATCTAGAGGTCGTGTTTGGGCGGGGGGGGGGGGGGTCCTTCCCATTTTCTAAATGTCATGTTTATGAGAGAAACGACCCCTTCCCAGTATTTAGAGGTCGTGTTTAGGGGGAGAAACGACCCCTTCTTGGTATCTAGAGGTCGTGTTTAGGGAGAGAAACGACCCCTTCCCAGTATCTAAAGGTCGTGTTTAATGGGGACACTATGCCTTTCCAGTATCTAAAGGTCGTGTTTAATGAGGCAACTATGCCGTCCCAGTATCTAAAGGTCGTGTTTAATGGGGGAAACTATGCCTTCCCAGTATCTAAAGGTCATCTTTAATGATGAAACGACCCCTTCTCAGTATCTAAAGGTCGTGTTTAATGAGGAAACTATGCCGTCCCAATATCTAAAGGTCGTGTTTAATGGTGAAACGACCCCTTCTCAGTATCTAAAGGTCGTGTTTAATGAGGAAACTCTGCCTTCCCAGTATCTAAAGGTCGTGTTTAATGGTGAAACTATGCCTTCCCAGTATCTAAAGGTCGTGTTTAATGGGGAAACTATGCCGTCCCAGTATCTAAAGGTCGTGTTTATTGAGGAAACTATGCCGCCCCAGTATCTAAAGGTTGTGTTTAATGGTGAAACTATGCCGTCCCAGTATCTAAAGGTCGTGTTTAATGGTGAAACGACCCCTTCCCAGTATCTAAAGGTCGTGTTAAATGGGGAAACTATGCCTTCCCTGTATCTAAAGGTCGTGTTTAATGAGGAAACTATGCCCTCCCAGTATCTAAAGGTTGTATCTAATGGGGAAACTATGCCTTCCCAGTATCTAAAAGTCGTATTTAATGAGGAAACGACCCCTTCCCAGTATCTAAAGGTCGTGTTTAATGGGGAAACTATGCCTTCCCAGTATCTAAAAGTCGTATTTAATGAGGAAACGACCCCTTCCCAGTATCTAAAGGTCGTGTTTAATGGGGAAGCTATGCCGTTCCAGTATCTAAAGATTGTATTTAACGGTTTAAAGACTAACCTTTCATATATATATATATATTGAATTTCTCAAGTCTTCATCCGTAGGCCTGTTTATAAAACAGATATTGTTGTGTAAACTATCAGTATGTATAGATAATAGTAGCTTGAGATAAGCTTACGTAAATGATGACTACTAAATACCTGGTAATTAGATAAAAACCCTAGATAAGCCAGAGATAAACTTACACGTGCTTAAAATACCTGGTAATTAGATACAAACCTTAGATCAATGTTCGAATACTGATATTTGGAGATTAAAAACCACAGCAATCTGATTAAAATACAGCTCTATTTTCGTTTCGTTTTTTTATACTTTCGATGGCCTACACTACATGGCACGCTAAGAAATCGTCTTAACAGACCGTTTCAATGGCTTATCTCTCACTTCAACCAAAACGCCGGTAATATACTGAGCGCCATGAAAAACCCATCACTTAGCTTTTCGTATAACAAAATGATCCTGTAAACATATCTTATTTATTTTGCTTCTTATTGTGAACAATATTCAAATGGGAACACATCAATAACAACACATTTGTACACTTATGGATGTTTAATCTGTAATCAAGGGTACAAAGTACGACACAGATGTCAGTAGCGCGTGTGTCCTCCACGGGCCATCATCACGGTAGGCTACAGCATTAACGCTACCCCTGAAAATGTGTATGGCGGTCCGGTGATCTAATGTGAAGCCTCCCCACACCATTACACTTCCCCCACCCCATCGATTCGTTTCGAAGACGCAGCAGTCAGCAAGACGTACCCCAAAACATCTCCACACACGTTGACGGCCATCAGCGTGATAAAGATGAAAGCGACTCTCATCACTGAAGAGCACACTTTGCCAATCTACTCTTCTCCATGTCTGGTGTCCTTGAGCCCATATCAAACGCCGCTGACTGTGATGATCCCTGAGGATAGCTCCAACATAAGGTCGTCGTGCACGGAGTCCTACTTCTCTTAGACGACGTCTTACGGTGTTGCCACTTACTGGTCCTTGTCTTCCGACGACTGCTGCACCTGTTCGAGTCACTGGGCGGAATCTGTCACGCAGATGAGTGACCCGGATGTAGCGGTCTTGAGTCTGGGTTGTAACGCGTTGTGAACCAGGACGTTGACGGTCACGTGTTGATCCAGTAACTCGAACACGTTCCTACAACCTTACAATAGTGGACTGATGACAATTGAAGTGTCTGGCAATAGCACGTGTAGACATGCCAGCCCTGGACATTCCCATGGCTTCATTCCGTTGATTTTCAGTAAGTCTCGGCATCTCTAGCTCGATTCCTTCACACGTCCAACAACAAATTACGACAGATTGACGTTTCACAGTAAATGTACTGCACATTAAGTTGAAAACATGCTTTTAAAGGGCTCACACACAATGCTGCACGTGAATATTGGGTTTTTATGTGCATCTCGTGCAATGTTTTTTTTTGCACACGGACCGATATGTTTTGCGTTTGGGAGCATTGTGTGAAACAATAGTTCATAGTATTGCATAATATTATACATACAAAACCACCTAGTAATAAAATATTTGGGAAAAAAAAGTGATGCGTTTTCCATGGCGCTAAGTATATAACAACTCTTCCAGATCCTAATGTAGTAAAGACAAGTAAAACGAAATTTTGAACTATAAAAAACGAAACGAAATAGGATCTGTGTTTTAATCAGATTGATAACACAGCATACATTCGCGAATATTCCGGCGTTGGGTGGGGGTTGACAAGGTTCTACAAACTGAAACAAGGGCCTTAACTCTAGAAGTTACTTATAGAATTTGTTGATATTTCGTTTACTAATTGAAATAATGCATATAAATTTCATAATAATAATAATAATAATAAAAACTTTATTTAATGAGGCAACGTATTTAGTTTGCAAAAAAAACAACTAATCTTCCATAGGTCCCTCCTAAACTACAAAGACATATATACATGTAATATCAGGATAAATTTAAAATCATTAGAAATGCAATAGCATTTTAAAGAGGGAAGTTTGATAGGTCACTCCCAAACTACAAAACATATACATTATACAAGTAGAATATAGGAAGAACACTATAATTACACACAAAATAAAATAGAATGCAGTTGCAAGTTAAAAATAATAAGTATGTCATCAGTTGAATATTATGGTTCCTTCAGTGTGCAAAATAAATGAGTTTTCAGTTTAATCTTAAAATTTTCAACATTTTTACACATCTTTATATCAAAAGGCAGATTGTTCCATAAAAGACATGCAGAATAATGAAAAGTACGTTTCATGGATTCCGTTTTGCATTTTTGAAGAAAAAGAGATTTACTGGTCTGTGAACGGAGCAAGATATCCGTTTTAGAAACAAGAGATTTTTCAATAAAATGGAAATTTAGATAAAGTGGAGTATTAAATGTAATAATTTTGAATGATAAGACAATTTTATTGTAAAGAATCCTCTGTGTAAGGGTAAGCCAACCGAGTTTAGTAAATAAAGAGGTGGACGGAGTTTCAATCGGTGCATCAAGAATAGCTCTTGCTGCCCTCTTTTGTAATTTTAAAAGAATGTCTAATCTACTTTTGGTAGCATTTCCCCAAATAATAGAGCAATAATCAAATATTGGTAGTATGTAACTGTTATAAAACAAAATTCTTGTCTCGTAAGGTAAATGATCTTTTATCTTATTTAGGAGAAATATTTTTGATGCAAGTTTTTTAGACATATCTGCTATCTGTGCTTCCCAATTAAGGTCTTGGTCAATTTGAATTCCAAGTAATTTTGCGGTAGTAACCGTCTCAATTTTCTCACCATGGAGTGATAAAGTTAGGTTTTTCTGATTTCTTTTGTGTTTTGTTGAAATCAGCATTAATTTTGTTTTCGAAGGATTGATTACCATCCCATTGTTTTCACACCATTTAGCAACCAAATAGAGATCATTTTGGAGATTTTTGGCGATGGATAAAATATCTTTGTGTGAACAATGCAGGGTACTGTCATCAGCAAACAAATCTATCTGACTTGATTCAATATTGAGTGGGAGATCATTTATAAAAATTAGGAATAGGAGAGGACCCAGGATCGAACCTTGTGGAACCCCGCATTTGACTGTAGTAATTGAGGAGGTAATTGATCCT